TTTCGAAAGACTCTCTTCTTCAAAACAAGCTTACCGAGAAGGGCTTGAAACAGCTGGCTGCCCAAGATGGAAGACACTTTGCCCACGCTGGTCTTCAAGGCCTGTTCCTCTGGACTGGTCAGGTTGGACTGGTACTGCTTGAGCAGCCTCACTGCCCTAGCTGTGTCTGCCTCACAAAATAAATACATGTCTCAGAACAACAGCAGCAGCAAAGCTACACAGAGACAGGGGAAATGAAATAACAGTGTCATGAACCTGTATCCCATTTGAGAGGCTAGAAAAAGACATTCGTGGAGTTGCAATTTTCAAAAATGTCAGCAATTAATCAGTTCATACAAAAAATTCCAGACTACTCTAAACTTACCTCTTTATTTTAGCTCTAATTAAACTATTACTAAATGTAAATACATGTAGCCAACAATACTGCCACTACTGCTTTTCTTTGCACAGACACACACTGTTATAAGAATTTAAATAAATAATAAAATACGGAAGATTTCTCCTTTTTTTTTAAACTAAACGCATCACTGCTGCTGCCTGTTATAGTCTCCTGCAGAGCACTTTAAAGGCATTTCTCTCTTTCCCATCAGGACTGTGCAGCTGGTTGTTGAACCCGGTGGGTGGTGAGGAGCACAGAATGCAGAGTTGATGCACATCACGAAGGTAAATCTACTACTTCACAGTTTCCTACCTAATCCTGAACATTATGATCGAGTAGGAGAATAACATCTCAGAAAACAACAACAACAACAACAATAATAATACCAACAGCACGGAAGCTGACAATTTCCACTTACTCTTAACTTTCTCATTCCCTGAGGGCTAAAACAACAGTCTGGTTTCTCGAGGGGATTACAGCTGAGGTTCGTGGGACGTTGAAAAGCCGTGCAATAACTTTGATGGCGTAATGAGCTGGCATTAACCTAAAAACGTTAACTTTACCCGAGTATATAAGAAAAAATGTGACACGTGGGGAAAAGAAGATATAACGTTACATGAACGGTACTCACCATATTTATGCACCATCATGTGGCCGACTTGAAAAGTCACATAAGTTATAATTTCGGGGTGTTTTGAGGGTTTAAGAAGCAAGAATAATAACTGCGATAGTCTCGGATAATTTTGTAACCGGGACTGTCGCTCCTTCCTCACAACAGATTTTTTTAAAAATCCAGTCGCTGACACTCGCAGTCTGTCTGAAGTGTCGCTGCAGCGGTCCGCAGTGTGGTCCACACCCACTGACTGAGGTTAAGATGTGAAAAAGCAAAGACTGTTTACTTCATGTCAACTTTTCCAGAAGTTTTCTTTTTTGGGGGGGCAAAACGGCTCCAGAGCGTGACATGTTCACGTTCCTCCTCCCCTCTCTCACACACGCCTCGCCTCCGTGGAGAAGGCCCACCGGTCCGGCCATAGCGGGCCCATTCGCACTGTCAGTATTAACGCTTTAAACACTGACACCTGCAGATAGCTTCAGCACATGGCATCACTAGTAATGATCAGCGTGTTACTTAAGCCGTTTTTGTCTGTCGTTGCATGTTTATCTGGTAAGTCGCCTGTTTCTCGATTTTTTTGTAGTTGGTGACATCTTGTGGCGCGATAAGGTGGTGCTGGGAGTCCGTCATTAAAGGAAAAGTACACTATGCAGACGTGTTTTGGACATGTGCAGAGAAGAGATATTCAGGGTGTGGAAAATAGAGCTACTGGGCAGGTGGAAAACAGGAAGACCTCAGAGAAACATTTCAACTGTACAAAATATAATCTATTGATCAGATTCAGTCACGTTAGAAAGAAAGTACACCAGCTGTCAGCTCTATGGCTTTACATGTCAGGACATAATAGAAATGATCCATTTTTTAAAATTAGGTGGACAGACCCTAGGGCATGCTACACTGTCATTATTTAATGAAAAAAAAAACACTGCTTGAGATAAAACACTGAAGCATTATATCTGACCTTATCAGTCTCTTGCAGCATGGTGGGAAACGTTAGAGATGGGTTCATTCGGCAGCTCTCTTAAGTTCCCGTCGCAGCATTTCAGTCAGGTTTAGGTTCGAACTTTAACTGGGCCTCTGAAACACTTTTGCTTTTCTTTTTCAGATATTCTGTTGTAGATTTGCTGCTATGCTTGTGATCATTACCCTGTTGCGTGACCCAGTTTTGGCCCAGCTTTAGCTGTCAGACACATTGATGTATATAGGAATTTATGGTCCACTCAATGACTACAAGGAGCTCAGGTCTTGGGCTACAAAATAAACTCAAATTATCACCCATCCACCACCGTGCTTGACAGTTGGTATGAGGTGTACGCTGGTTTTCATCAAACATGGACCTGTGTGCATTGTGGCCAATCATCTCCACTTTGGCCTGATCTGTCCAAAGGTGATTGTTCGCAGTGTCTTTTGTTTTTTTAGATGCAAATTTACAGATCTAAGTCCTGCTAACATGTTCTTTGTACATAATCAAGTCTTTCCCGTGCCAGCCCTTGCAAACAAGCCATACTTGTTCATTACTGTCACAAACTTTAACATTTAACATGCTAACTGAGGCCTGTAAAGTCTGAGATGGAGCTGGTATGAAGCACCTCCGTTATATAAACAGTTCATTCTTAATGCTCCAGCCACAACTATCTGTGTCCAACTTTAACAGCTTTTCTAATGTGCTGATTTTATTAAATATAAATCACAGTTGTTAAAACGATTTTTTCGATATGTCACCTGTTTATTCAAA